AACGCGCGATGGTTCCCAAGTTGTTGACGAGATCCGCCTTCGTCATGCCGATTCCACTGCAGGAAAAGATGAATCATTGCAACGGTAATCCTCATTATCGAGAGGGACACATCATCGATATAAAGCTATCCTTATAGAAATCGAATACAGTAGTACTTCAGACCGATTACACCTGAGGACTAATACTTTCGACCAGGATGGGTAAGAAAGTTTATCAAAACCTCGGTGCACCATTATGCAATACGTCGTCGGTGTCACGATACATACGGAAACAAGTATCGTTATAGGATACCAAATTCCTTTCACAATTGAATGTCACGTGGGGATAGACAAGAACGTTAATCAAAAACACCGCTCGGTGATGAACATACAGAGCTTCAAATTCTAACGAAAGCTAGGAAATCTGACTCACGTATCAATAAGGGTGAGGGTCTTCTCATCCTTATTTGGGATGATCTTCACCATCAACTCCTTGCCGGACTCCAACTTGGAAGGATCCGTAAGGGCTTCGTACCGGATCTTATCCAGGGCATCAGAGGAATTTGAGATCAATTCTCGCAAGAAGATTTCCTTGTTCGAATAGAAAGTGTTGATGATGAGGGACATCAGTTGGGCGATTTCAGCCTGGAAGGCGAAAGTCTCCGTGTCCACCTCCATCGGGGCGTCGCTGATTTCAGGCATCTTTGAACACTGCAGAACAATCGATAATTGATATTACACTGATACTCGGATAACTCCGGAGACAAATTCCTCACCTTCCAGTGAACAACACAATACACAGGGTCGAATCTCAGAAGCAGCACAAATTCGCTCCAACGTTCGAGGATAAATTTCGGAGTAAACTACCACTGGTAGAACTGGCGCAGGGTTATATAGACTCGGGCTGGTGGGGATGAGAGGGGAAACCGTTGAAAGTTCTCGAATGTTCTGGACAAGCCGGGAACTGGTTCTCCCTCGCCAGCATTGCAGGTTACTAGAAGCCGGGCTTGCCGGCTCACAGCAGCGCCCTCTCCTGCAGCTCCAGAACAATCTCGAATGTTCTAGAATCTAGTAGTTGTCAAACCTGTCCAGTCATCGACCCCTCATTACTCTGAAGAATCATACGAATGACCGGAAGTTATGCGAGAAATCGGATCAAATTTGTCAAAAAATGATGTAATTTTATGATTACGGATTATTTTTACGTGAAAAACGTTGATTCATAGATTCATACATGATCCATGTTCTATAATGGCCCTCCGTCTTGAACCGGGTAGCAGGTTTGAAGACCCCGGGCTCATGTATGCCCAAGTACACAGTGAGTTGAAGTAAACGCGTTTCGATTTGAAGGATGAGACAGTTGAAGCTAAGGCGTTTCGATTTTGGTTTTCCTAAGCATTTAATTTGAGAATTCCAGTGCGAATATTTATTTGCATGTGATGCATGAGGATGACTGGAAGAGGGTTTATTTATGTCTGGTTTTACAGTATATTCATGTTTAGAGAAGCACGAACAAGAGGCAGCATGCCAAAGCATATATGTCATTGTAGGAAAAGAACCTTGGTACAAGCAGGATTTCGGAATTTAAAACCGTGTTTCTCTAAAAAATTATCTTGTTCTGGTACATACAGTACATACTGTAGAAATTTTCCTCTCGATTTGTGAAAAACAAATTTAGATACAGTATTTACTTTATGTACATCTTACTCCTCTGTACTATACTGTTGGTAAAGAGAGAACTTCCTTTATGGTAACACAGAAAAGGTAACACATTCTCTCACACGATTTCAGAACCGAAAAAAATACAGCATAGTACCAAGCCAAAGAATCAAATAGTTTTGGGAATTTGGTGGAATTTTAAATTTTTTTGAAAGTACTGTACTACAGTAATACATAATATACCGTGTTCTGTATAAGATTACTGCATGATGTGCGTTCCCGCGCGGATATGCTTGTTAGGAAATGTACGGCATCCTATTGTTGCATTCTTGTACTTTCATACGTATGTTTCCTAGAATGAATATAGATGTCGCTACAGTAACGTATCGGGTAGTACATATTGTAACGAATGCAGATGCGTACGTCACCGGTTTTCAATGTACAGTACAGTATAATTACAGCATTATACATTAGTAAAATCTTCTCACTAGGATTTTATAAGCATTTATCCTTTGATTAGAAAATCCAGGAAAACGAAATTATCATGCAAAGAAAAATGTAATCCCTTTCTTGTTGAACATAAATTTAATTACAACTTTTATTCTTATATAACTTTCAATCCACAGCAGCCATGACCTTCTGATGAATTTTAGATACAATAAGTAAAGTTTACGATATACTGTACCATATATGATGCGAATTATGTAACTGCTTATAGTGAATTTATTGATACAGTATCTCCAATTCAAAATTCAGTTCAGAATTTCAAAATACTACATGTTTACTCTTTAGCCTAGCTCATGGGAATTGGGAGATGATGCTAACTGGTTCATATGATAATTGCTGCAGCAACTTCACATAATTTGGACTTGTATATTCTTTACTTCAATTCAAAAAAGACCTTTCCTTATTGCTATGTCTCATGTGATGCAGCAGTCATCCCAATCCAATATACTGTTTGATGTCCTCATCTCAACAGATTTGAAATACATTTTTCAAAGTTTTACAGATTTTCATCCCTCAGAACAATGCTATAAATGCATACCAATTTTTCAGGAGGTGAAATGAACAGAAAATTTTTTCAAGCATCTTTCCTTGCTGGCAGCTAAATTTTTTTTCTGCTGGATTGTAACAATTCCAGTCCTTTTCTTTGGGGGGGGGGGGGGGGGGGGGGGG